TTTGTTGATTTCTTACTAATGCCTTTATCTCTAATACTAAATCACTTGGTCGTATTTTTAAACCAGTATCTCCTATTTTTTAGTAGATATTTCCACCACGAATTTGTTGCATCCATTACATCCTTTACTCGAGTTATGTAGAGGTAGCTTTATTTGTTCTCCTTCCCTCTCTCTCAGGTCCTAACCCGTTCCACCTCTAAAGTCTCATTAGCACGTGCAAATGGATTGTCGTACCTATGACCCTATAAGAATTGGAGACCTCGAGAGGGCGCAGGAGAACAATAATGATAAGGCAAGGCGGAGGACACATAAATCATACTGAAATTATGAGGGACTGCAGTTGGGAAGGCCGACAGTGGAGCAATCGATTGACCCTCACGTGATCCAACTACTCCTTGCCAGGCTGACCTCCACCAACTGCTGCGTCGTCGTGTGCACCGATGGCATGGACGATAGGTCTCCCATGCATGCTGCTCTTCTCGATCATTAAGGGCACTCTAAGGGTTGCGCTCGCTCAACCGTGGTTGTCAGGCCACGTCTATGCCATCACAGGCAGCCGCATCCACTCAAGCACCACTAGAGCCACGCCCACACGCCGTACCGCCCCATTGCGGCGTTGCACAGTGCTAGCCCATGTCTTTGTCGATGGTTGGCACACTAACGTCCTAGGTTGCCTCACGGTGACACTAGGTGCGCGTGTTGTCATGGCCACTGTGCCCACACACGGATGGCTTCATCGTGTAGCCACACTCATGACACTGACAATGCATTAAATCATTCTCCCGTTGCAACACACAGGCATATTTGCTAGTAGAAAAAAAAAGATCAGCATCTACTGCAGCATAAATAGAGAGAAGCTTACATATGGAAATAATAGTGTCGACAGAATATCGTCGGCAGTCCACCGAGGAGTATCCCGCGATGGTAGATTTGTCGGTGGAGGTGCGCGTAATCAGGAACCAGATGGTGACACAAGGCACAGAGACAGCGATTTAGACAGGTTCGGGCCGTCTGATCGACGTAATACCCTACGTCTTGTGTCTTTGGTGTATTGTATTGAGATGTAGTACATAGATCTGTACGTATCTGTCCGCTAGGGGACCCCTGCCTCTCCTTATATACTCTGGAGGGGCAGGGTTACAAGTAAAGTAGCATATTTGGTACTATACAATATCTTGCGGTGCACGCCGAGCAGCGCCGTGCACGTTTTGATCTTGTGCGCTGGGCCACCTCTGATGTTGCGGCCCATGTCTTGTCTTGAGGATACCGGGGGCCATACCCCCACAGCTAGTCCCCGAGCTTGACAGTAGGTGATGTAGTCACGTGGTGCCAGGGTCAGAAAGTAGAAGACCAGCCGAGCAGGCAGTCAGTCCCCAGGCGTAGCCTCGAAAAGCACATTCACCGCAAGGTGAAGTGTGCCCACTTAGTCCCCGAGCCTGCTGGAAGACGAAGAATAAATCTTGTAGCAGGGTCAAAGAAAAAGAAGTCCGAAAGCTTGCCGACGTCGTCTGACATGCGCATATCAAGACCCCAGATGTGTTGTCCAAGATCAGCACCTTGATTCGAACAGCATGGAGCAGCTTGATAGTACACCGATGAGACGTAGCAAGATCCGACCACCAAGGGCTATGTCCGAGCGCCAAGGAGTTCCCGGCGTAGGCGACGGTGTCCGAGCACCGAGGAGTCCCCGGCGTAGCTGGCGGTGTCCGAACGCCGAGGAGTCCCCGACGTCGCTGGCGTTGTCCGAGCACCAAGGAGCGAGGAGTTCCTGGCGTCGCTGGCAATGTCCGAGCACCGAGGAGTGAGGAGTCCCCGACGTCGCTGGCGATATCCGAGCACCGAAGAGCGAGGAGTCCCCGGCGTCGCTGGCGATGTCCGAGCACCGAGGAGCGAGGAGTCTCCGGCGTCGCTGGTGATGTCCGAACACTGAGGAGTCCCCGGCGTAGGCGACGATGTCCGAGCACCGAGGAGCGAGGAGCCCCCGGCGTTGCTGGCGATGTCCGAGTACTGAGGAGTTCCCGGCGTATGCGGCGATGTCCGAGCACCGAGGAGTCCCTGGCATAACTGGCGACATCCGAGCAGTGAGGAGTTCCTGATGTAGCTGGCGATGTTCGAGCACCGAGAAGTCCCCGGCGTAGCTGGCGACATCCGCAAGGTGAAGTGGGGTGAAGTGTGCCCGCTTAGTCCTCGAGCTTGAAGAATTCGAGGGCTGAGGAGTAACCGACGTAGCTGACGATGAAGCACGAGCGACGAACAGTCTGGTCAACTGGTCGGTGGCGAAGTGAGCATCGAGTAGAAGCAACCGGCGAACAGTCCGATCAACTGGTCAGCGGCGGAGTCCATGAATCAAGCGGTCCGACCAGTTGATCGGTGGAGAAGTCCGAGCACCAGGTCGTCCGAGCACCTAGACGATGATCCTGCAATACAAATATATAGAACGGGTAGTACATGATGTACAAATAAATAAACTCCGGAGAAAAATCAGCAATGGTGATAAAACGGCGTATGCAGTTCGGCGATCAGTTAGCGTGAAGATATATTTATATTTAATATAAACCGCCTGAACAGTTAGTGTGTAGCTGAGTCTCCAGCCCTAGCTAGCCCGTTAACCATAACGCGGAGCGCGGAGCCCGTGCACGTGTAGGAGGAACATGCGTGACCAAGGAGCCGCTGCCGACCACCCATAACATAGAGCACGGAGCCCGTAGCACGTGTAGGGAGGAGCCGGAGACAGGGCCGTCTCTGAGGATATCTGAGCGTCAACATGACTTTTCGGGGGTTTAAAAAATCGTTTGGAGAGCAAACATGGAGAAAACAGTTCGGAGAAACATTATGACGATATACGGAGATTGGAGAATATTTAGAAGAATATTAAAGCGTAACTTAGCTTTAGACGGAGCGTCTGGTCGGCGACGTAGGACGTTATCTGGTCGGCGTTGATAAAATTGCTCGGCCCTCGAGCTTTCCGAACTGTCGTCATGGCGGTGGTCGCGGTTGTTATGACGCCGTTCTTCGTGGCGATAATTATTACGACGCGGCAGGTGGTCAGAGTAAGTAGTCCGGGCGACATCGTTCTTATATTAGCGGTCGGCGACTCGTACGGTTCGCTTAGCGGCTCGCTTTCTTGGATGGCTCAACGAGCCGTGCTTGGAGTGTATTCCTGTATATGTATGCACGATAGATACATACGTGCACATGCACGTGCAAGTATCATAGCTATTCGTAGTTGGCTTGCATGTCCGATTGTGGATCCTTGTTTCGTGTTGATGCAGACATGCAGATGGCCAGCATCGCCTATCATTGCGTGCCGAGATTGCCGACTCGAATCTGCTTGGTCCGAGCTTTAATTCCACGAGGGACGTACGTATCTGAAATTGACGAGCAGCCCAACCGAGATCTTGTCAATCTAGATGCACGCACGGTGCTGCTGCCGCCAGGGCTTGACAATCGGTACTGCGAGTCCATTGCTTCGCTGTTAAGCTTGATCAATCACACAATCGCGTTGAACGTCGGGGGATATCGTTGAGTTGCCGCCATACAGTAGATTGATTCTATCGTATAGTAGATTGATTCCGTGATTCCGTCGCCGGCTGATATCGTATAGTAGATTGATTCCGTCGCCGGCTAATATGGAGCCTGTCAGACTACTGAAGCACGCCGCCGCAGGAAGTCAGGTTGCCACGAGTGACGTCGATCTTGACATCCCATCTGGCCCGCCATGGATCAAGCGCACACCCCTACCTGGCGCGTCAACTGTCGACAGAATATCATCGGCAGTCCACCGAAGGGTATCCCGTGACGGTAGATTTGTCGGTGGAGGTGCGTGTAATCAGGAACCAGATGGTGACACAAGGCGCAGAGACAGCGATTTAGACAGGTTTGGACCGTCTGATCGACGTAATACCCTACGTTATGTGTCTTTACTGTATTGTATTGATATGTAGTAGATAGATCTGGATATATCTCTGTCCACTAGGGGACCCCTGCATCTCCTTATATACTCTGGAGGGGCAGGGTTACAAGTAAAGAATCATATTTGGTACTATACAATAGCTTACGGTGCATATCTTGTGGGCCACTTCCGGTGATGCGGCCCATGTCTTGTTTTGAGGATACCAGGGGACATACCCCATAAATAGACTCCCACTATATCAAGAAAAATCAATATGTAAAGTTGTCCTAAGTCAAATAGTCTTTAAATTTAACCAACCTATAGAAAAGAGCATAAACACTTTTTGCTATCTAGCTAAAATCATTAGATTCCACATAAAATGTACTTTCATAAATAACTTATCCAATGTCGTAGACGTTGATAATCTTCTCTATGAATTGATCGATTTGAAATAGTTTAAATAGTTAGGCCAGGTGCAGAGGTTGATAATCTTCTCTATGAATTGATCAATTTTAAATAGTTTGAATAGTTAGCACAGGTACAGAAGTTGGTTTATTATAGATCCGAGGGAGTATTGTAAATGCTATTATTCCTTTTTATTCCCTCTATTTTTTTCAATTTATAAGACGTTTTGACTTTCTAGATACCAAGCTCCTGCCATACATTTAGATATATAGTACATAGCAAAAGCATGTATTAGTTAAAAAAACAATGTATTAAGAAAAATCAAATCATCTTATATTTTAGAACGGATGGAGTATAAAGATGGCCACCGGTGGACAAACTCATATAAGTCATTATTCCCTCCCTTCCAAATTATAGTACTAACTTATTATTAGGATAAAACAAAATTCCATCCATTCTAAATTACAGTTCACTGTGGCTTTTGTCATAGGTCAAACTTCTTCAAACTTGACAAAGTGAACTATAATTCACAAAACGGGACGAGTATATTTTTGGACAGAAGGAGAACTAGTCAAGCTGCCAGACTGGAACAGAGGAAGTACATTCATCGCTGCTGCTGCTCCAGCAGTCCAGCTCCACCATACATATATGGAGCTTAGGCGTGCGCAAGAGTCAAGACGTTAGTTTAGCAAGCTTGGCAGCCATGGTGTTGCTCATCCGTCTGCTGTTGCTCGCACTCGCCACGCTTGTTTCCCTGCCCATGTCAGGTGCGCAGACCAACATCACCTTGGGGACCTCCCTGCCAGCCGCCGCCGGTGCCGCCTGGCCCTCCCCATCCGGCCGCTTCGCCTTCGGTTTCTACGCCACGGGCGGCGGCCTCGCCGTCGGCGTCTGGCTCGCCACATCGCCCAACGTGACCGTCACGTGGACGGCCGCCGGCAACGACACGCCGGCCAACGGCGGCGAGCTCCAGCTCTCCGAAGACGGCCGCCTGCTCTGGACCGGCGCCGACGGCCAGTATAGAAGCCTCGCTGCTCCTCCCCAGCCGGCCCTCTCTGCGGCCATGCGGGACGACGGCAGTTTCGTGCTCTACGATGCCGACGGGGCCGTGGTGTGGTCCACGTTCGAGTTCCCCACGGACACCTTGCTCCCCGGTCAGGACCTCGTACCTGGCGCGCACCTCTTCTCCAGCGTGTCGCCCACCAACAGGGCCGCCGGCAAGTTCCGCCTCGCCAGCCAGCTCAACGACGAAAACCTCGTCTTGTACCCCGTGCAGACGGAGAATGTCGGGACCGCCGCGTACTGGGCCACCGGTACGTTCCAAATCGGTTTCCCGCTCACCCTGCGCCTAGACGCCACCGGAGTGCTATACGTCACCGGCAACGGCGGCTACACCAAGAACCTCACGCGGCCCGGAGCCGCGCGGTCGCCCGCCGAGACGCAGGTCTTCTACCGCGTCACGCTCGACCCCGACGGAGTCCTGCGCCTGTACCGTCACGCCGTCGCGTCCGACGGCCCGTGGACGACCGACGTCCAGTTGATCGGGCCAAGCGACCCGTGCCAGGTCAAGGGCGCATGCGGGCCCAACAGTTACTGCGTCATCTACCGCGACGCGCAGCCGAGCTGCCTTTGCCCTCCGGGGTTTGACTTCATCGATGCTGCCAACGGCGCGCTCGGGTGCACCAGAGCCTCAGGCGCCGGCGACTGCGCGGCCGGTCTGTCCATGGCGACGATCCAGAACATGTCCTGGCCGGACACGGGGTACGCCGTGCTGGGCGCGGCCACCAGCGCCGCCGACTGCCAGGCCGCGTGCATGGCCGACTGCCTCTGCGCCGCCGTGCTGCTCAATAGCAACGACGGCACGTGCACTAAGCAGCAGCCCCTCTCATGTACGGCCGCACGGGCGGCGGCTACACGCTGTTCGTCAAGATCACCTCGGGAGCCCGGCAATCGGCGGCGGCGGCAGGGGGCGCCGCGTCGGGCGCACGACCATCGTCGCTCTGGTCTGCATCGGGATCCTGACGTGCGTGTCGCTAGCCGCGCTAGTGGCGGCGGCCCGGCTGGTTCTGGCGAACCGGAGGACGGTCGCGGAGCCTGATGCCGAGGAGGCGCCCCTGAGGACGTACAGCTACAAGGAACTGAAGCACGCGACGTGCGACTTCCGCGAACCGCTGGGCCGCGGCGCGTTCGGCACGGTGTTCCGGGGCACGCTGCTGCACAACGGCGGAGAGAAGGCGATCGCCGTGAAGCGGCTGGAGAAGGTGGTGGAGGAGGGGGAAGTGGAGTTCCAGCGGGAGGTGCGCGCCATCGGGCGGACGAGCCACAGGAACCTGGTCCGGCTGCTGGGCTTTTGCCACGAGGGCGCCAACCGGCTGCTTGTGTACGAGTACATGAGCAGCGGGTCGCTGGCGGAGCGTCTGTTCAAGAACAGCGCCGGCGGAGGCGGACCGCCGGCGTGGGGCGAGCGGATGGGCATCGCGCTGGACGTCGCGCGCGGGCTGCACTACCTCCACGACGAGCAGGACAGCCGGGTGATCCACTGCGACGTGAAGCCGCAGAACATCCTGATGGACGCGTCGGGCACGGCGAAGATCGCCGACTTCGGGCTGGCGAAGCTCCTGCTCCCGGACCAGACGCGGACATTCACGGGGGTGCGCGGCACGCGCGGGTACATGGCCCCGGAGTGGTACCGCGGCGTTGGGCCGCTGACGGTGAAGGCGGACGTTTACAGCTACGGCGTGGTGCTGCTGGAGATCGTGACGTGCCGCCGGAGCATGGAGCTGGAAGAGGCCGGCGAGGAGCGGACGCTCATGGAGTGCGCACACGAGTGGCTGTTGCGCGGCGAGGTGTGGCGGGCCGTGGGCTGCGAAGACGAGGCGGCAGAGGCCGTGGAGGTGGAGCGGGCGGTGAAGGTTGCGGTGTGGTGCGCGCAGGCGGAGCCCCAGGCGAGGCCCGCAATGAGGAGTGTCGTCCTGATGCTGGAAGGGCTCGTGGAGGTACCGTTCCCGCCGCCGCCGGCCTCCTCCTGATGGAGTGATGGACATGCATCATATAGGTTGCATTCCCTCGTTTTCATCAGAGATGAGTAGGTAGTTTAATTTTTTTGAACTGGGTATCATCTCATTAATCAAGGGATGATGATTCATCAGCAACAATTGCATCAATGTGATCAGGAAGTGAACCAGGAATGGGATCAGATCCTTCTACACATTCATGATATACATAGGGTGCGTTTGGCTGGTCTGAAAAATTTCAGACCAGCCGGCTGCTCCGGCTGCTTCTCCTCACATGCTACAGTATAACTTTCAGCCGCTACAGTATTTCTCTCTCACACAACCAGCCGCTACAGTATTTTGTCTTCTTTTTTCAGACAAGCGAACGGGGCCATAGTGGATCACCTAGACATAGATCTAGCGGGTAAAACCTTACATACGGGATAAAAACTTCCTAGAACATGATCTAGAGAGAGAGAGAGGAAGGGAGGTGAGATGTCATCGACCATCCGCGGGTTTAGAGGAAGAGCTCGACGTAGCTATGGCGAAGGTGATGTGGTCCGGGTCGGCGGTGTCACGGTGACGGTGTTGAGGTCAGTCGCAGTGCAGTGGTGGCGGAGAGGCGATGGAGAAGACGGCAGTGGAGCTTCCCATCGCTGGCTACGCCCCTTACTAAATCGGATTGGGTTTGTTGGTGGGTGTGGCGGCTCATGGTGAACCTCGTACTGAGAGCAGCCGTCCCCCACCTCTCTTTATAGCGCAGTGCGACGGGGAGCTACCAACCATGTAGGGTTGGGCGCCTCCGAACAGGGCGCGAGGTCAAGGTCCAACTCGGCCGTTGGGCCGAGCTGGAGAGATCAACACTAACAATATCCCCCTTAATCTCATTTTATTACTTAAACTTAACTTACTTTATCTTTTTTTCATTCCATCACGGATCAGTGCATAGAGCGTGCCTCATCGTCACGGTCAGTGCCATTAGATTAACAGCTACAATGCACCTCTCTATTTTGAAATATATTCTCAACTAGGGCCTTATTGTTTAGGAATCATAGGCTTTTCCTTAAACCCATGCCAGCTAAGTGTTCTCTGAACTCGTTGGGTGGTGAGCTTTTTGTAAACGGATCCGCGAGCATCTTTTTTGTACTTATGTGCTCAAGACTAATTATATGATTTCGGACTTTGTCTTTCACAACATAATACTTTATGCCAATGTATTTGGCAGCACCACTTGACTTATTGTTGTGAGCATAACATACTGCTGGATTATTATCGCAGTATAACTTGAGTGGCTTATGTATATCGTCTACCACTTTCAACCCGGTCATAAACTTCTTTAGCCAATTCACCTACCCTGTGGCCTCATAACACGCTACAAACTCATCATACATCGTCTATGATGTGGTGACGGTTTGCTTAGAACTTTTTCACGATATAGCTCCTCCTGCGAGAGTAAATATATATCCTGACGTGGACTTTCTATCATCTCCCGCATAATCTGAATGACTGAATCTGAATACCCCTCTATGTGTAGGGAATCAGATCTTCTGTACGTTAGCATGAGGCCTTTTGTGCCTTGTAAGTAACGCAAAACTTTTTTTATCAGTCTTCGGTGTTTCATTCCTGGATTACTCTGATATCTGCCAAGTAACCCGATAACAAACGCTAAATGAGAGCGTGTACACACTTGAGCATACTGTAAACTTTTGATAGCAGAAGCATATGGAACCGTTTTTATTTGATCGATCTCATATTGGTTCATGGGACATTGGAATTCCCTAAATCTATCGCCCTTGACTATGGAAGCAGGTGAAGGCTTACAATTTTACATACTGTATTTCTTTAGAACCTTTTTTAAGTATGTCTTTTGTGATAATCATAAAACCCCCTTTCTTCTATATCGGCGAATTTCTATTCCTAGAACGAACGAAGCTTCACCGTTATCCTTCGTATCAAAATTCGATGACAAGAACTTCATTTCTAGTAGTAGATTAACATCACTACTAGCGAGTAAGATGTCATCCACATACAAGATTAGAAAAATATATTTCTCATTCTTAAACTTTGCATAAACACAATTGTTCTCTACATTTTCTTGAAACCCAAACTTCCTTATTGTACTATCAAACTTTAAATACCATTGTCTTGATGCTTGTTTTAATCCGTAAATTGATTTCTTCATGCGGCATCCCATACGTTCTTTTTCTTACATAACAAAACCTTTTGGTTGTGCCATGTAAATATTTTTCTCCAAATCCCCGTTTAGGAACGCCGTCTTTACATCCATCTGATGTAATTCTAAATCATAATGTGCTACAAGCGCCATTATAATTCTAAAAGACTTCTTACATGAGACTGGAGAAAATGTCTTATTGTAATCTATGCATTCTCTTTGTGTGAAGCCTTTCGTCACAAGTCGCGTTTTAAATCTTTATATATTCCCTTTGAAGTCATATTTAGTTTTATAGACCCATTTGCAGCCTATTGTCTTGGCTCATGTGTATCTAGTGAAATCATCCACAATCACAAATCCGTATTTGTTTCCATCAATGCTAGTGTATGTGGTTGGTCTAAATAAGTCTATGTGCACCAACTCAAATGCCTTATATGTGCTCATCATTTTCTTCTTAGGATGTGTGTTATCAACTTGCTTTCCAGCTTGACATGCACTACATAGTTTATCCTTCTCAAATGTGACATCTTTCAAACCTCTAACTAAGTCATGCTTGATCAACTTGTTTAATTGTTTTATTTCAACATGACCAAGCCTTCTATGCCATAACCAACCCATGCTAGACTTAGTGAGTGTTGACAATTGAGCTTCTCTAGCATTGAAATCAACCAAGTATAGATTCTCGTATCTAAATCCTTTGAATATCATGTTAGAGCCATCTACACGTATGATCTCTACATCATCCACATCAAATACGCACTTGAAATCAAGATCACACAATTGAGCTACCAATAATATGTTGAAGTTCAAGCTCTCTACTAGTAACACATTAGAAATGCTCAAGTCATTGGATATTGTAATCTTACCAAGACCTTTGACCTTGCCTTTGCCATTGTCACCAAATGTGATACTATCAATCACATTGCTCTTATTTTCATTGATTGAATTGAACATTCTTAGATCACCGGTCATGTGTTGTGTGCACCCACTATCAAGCACCCAATGTCTTCCTCCAGCTTTATAATTGACCTACAAAAGAAGATCAATTTTTTTTAGATACCCAGACTTGATTGGGTTCTTGAAGGTTAGTTACCAAGGTCTTTGGTACCCAAATGATCTTCTTCTTTTGGGCCCACAATTGGTGCACCAATGAACTTAGCCTTCACACCATTGGCACTCTTAACAAGTATGTAACAAGAATCAAATCTAATTGAGGATACATTAAATTGCTTGTTCTTGTTAGTCTTGCAATATTGCTCTATATGCCCAACTTGCTTGTATTTATTACAAAATCGACCATTGCCCTTCACAAAGCTCGTTTTGGAAGTGACAAAGGCCACCTTGCCTTTCTTGGGGGTATAGCTTAATCCCTCTTTATTGAGAGAAAATCTTTGACTGCTCAAGCACTTTAGCAAGCGAGCATCTCCACCATAGACATTGCCTAAGGCACGAGTGAGCTCATTCACCTCCTTCTTGAGGGTCTTATTTTCCATCATTAGTGAGGCATCACAAGTAAAACCATCACTCAAAGGTGAAGTTAAAGTAGAAGTGCTACAAGAAGGGTTAGTGGGAGCAACTACAATAGACTTATAAAAAGATTCATCAATAATATCACATGTTAGTTCCACATCACAAGACACAATCATTTGCTCCTCCTTGGCTTCCTCCATTTTGACTTGCTCGATGAGAGAGGAGTGAGCCTTTTCAACCTTAGAGTGAGCTTTGCCAAGCTTCTCATGGGCTTCTATTAGGCTCTCATGAGTGGCATTTAGCTCATCAAAGGATTGCTCAAGAAATTTAACTTTCTTGCGTAATTCTTTGCACTCCTTTCTCTTTATCTCAAAGCAAGTGTGCACTTGCTCACACATGTCCATGAGTTCCTCATTGGTGTACTCCTCCTTATCATCATCATCACTCCTACAAGCATCACTTTCACATTCATCATCATCACTCACATCATATTTTACCTTGGTAGGCTTTGACATGAGGCATGTCGATAGAGTGTCGAAGATGGAGAGCTTGTTGTTGATGGCGATGCTTGCTGGTGCTTTCTTGATAGAATTCTTGCCATCATCACTAGAGCCATCACTATCTCAAGGGACCACATAGCCTCCACCCTTCTTCTTTTGGAAGGTCATCTTTTTTTCTTTCTTCTCCTTCTTGTGCCTCTTCTTCTTATCCTTATTATTGTCACTATTGTAGGGACAATCCGCTACAACGTGATCGGAGCTCTTGCAATTATAGCATCTTCTCACATATTCTTTGCTTTTGGTGTGATCTCTTTTCTTTCTTGCACCATAGCTCTTCTTCTTCATGAATTTGCCCATCTTACGCACAAATAGAATCATGGCCTCATCATCAATGTCACTAAAAAAAGAGTTTATATATATATATATAGATTTTATTTAAAAAAAAGTGATAAAAGTTTTTCCACAAGTTGTATTAAAAAAGGAAAATATATTAGTTGGTATTCAGTTTTTTAGTGCAAACTAGACTAAAAACACACACAGCTAGAATATATAAATACCAAAAAAATCCAGTAACAACTCGCTAAAACTAAATACCACTTCCTAGTTCTTACTCAAATCAAAGTGGAGGTTAGTTCAGACAAGTGAACACAGACAGAGATAGGTTCTGGGTTCAGTTAACCAATGTCGTTCGATTTTACTTAAGGATGGGTTCACAGACGCAACGCACGTGGCACCACCTTAAGGCCCGCCCACTCACGCCTACACCGCCTGAATCGGCCCATCTCCCAGTTGCTATGAAATTCGCCCGGCCCGGTTCAACTTTGCTACTCCCGCGCCTGAACCCACACACCCTTCACAACTCTCTTCTCTTTCTGTGGTGAAAATTAATCCAA